TTATTATTAATCAAAGCCAACCCAAAAAATGTTTTTTTTTTTTTTTTTTTTTTTAGTGTTTCAGCTGTTTTGCAATTTTTGGGAAGTTTGTTCCACATTAATGAAGCATGAAAACTGAATTGCCCAGTTGCCCAAGCCTTAAACTAGGTTTATATCCATCCATTCATCCATCCATTCATTTTCTTCCGCTCATCTGGAGTTGGGTCGCTGGGGTGGCAGTCTAAGTAGCGAGGCTCAGGCAATCACTTGGGCCAGCCCCACTCAGGGAATCCCAAGGCATTCCCAGGACAGCTGAGAAGCATAGTCCGTCCAGCATGTCCTGGGTCTTCCGCTGTTTCCTCCTGGTGGGACGAGCCACGGAGGCATCCAGGAAGCATCCTAACTAGATGGCCGAGCGACTTCTATTGGCTCCTCTTGACATGGTGGAACAGTGGCTTTCCTCTGGGTCCCTACAGGATGACTGAGCTTATCTCTAAGAGAGAACCTAGACACCCTACAAAGGAAATTTATTTCAGCCACTTGTATCCATGACCTTGTTCTTTTGGTCATGACACAAAGCTCATGACCTCATGACCTAATGTCCCGGCTCCACTCTACTCAGCTGGCTTTGTGAACGTTTCCACTGGCTTTTTTTCGAGGCCAGTCCCTGCTTTTTAGGTCCCTGCTTTTGGAGTAGGGCCAGCAGGCCGACATGTGTGGGTGATGCAAGAGCATGCCGACCATGCCGTCTGACTACGTCTGATCAAGCTACGTCTGTCAGACGTAGCTTGGTCAGACGTAGCACAAAGAGAGAAGAAAAACAGATTCCCTGCAACACAGAAGTGATGGAAGCTACAAGCAAGCGGTGGAACAATGAGATGACAGCTTCTCTTTGCATCGGATTTCAATATTTAGCGGCAGCTTTATGGAACAGTGAGGAATGAGTTGTTTTCGTCAACGTAGCAGAGAAAACGGGAAGCCTTGGTTAACTACTTCGGAGCCGGACGCTGTCCTACAGTGAACCCTGACTCAGATGCAGCTAACGACGCTGCTGCTCTCCAACAAGGTGAGTAGTTTGCAGATGTATCTGTCTGGTTTTTACTATATTTTATAGTTGCCTACATACAATCATGGAAGACATTTGAAACACAAAGTCTGCTGTATTTCTATTGCTTAAACACATGCACATTTCTACTCAGTTGCACATTCCTTGAGATCAGAGTGCACCGTTTATAACTTTGTCAATATTGTACAGCATATTGCCCTTCGTTTGTTTTTTTAATGTTTTAGCTGTGTGAATCTACTTGCTTCGATTGT